CAATAAGCAGTATGGTTTTCCACTGCATAGTATTTAATGTTACATTCTGGTTTTATTTTTTACTTTAAAATAATAAAGTTGACTAATGTCTGCATTCACTAGCTAGCACATTGGTCACATTGTCTTTCACAATTTAATTTCTATGTATCTTCTTTCATTCTTTTTTATTGTTTTGTTTTGTATCTAGCCTTGGGAGCTTGGGATTTAAGATTATTATTGCCTTAAGTACACTGTTTCGTTTTTACATCAGTGCCAAATTCATATATTTTCTTGACCAAAGAAAAACACCAGAAACAACACAGAAGGGTAGTACAATTGGCTCTAATGATACTGACCTTTCACCTCCAGGTTGACAAACATCTCCTGGTTGCCCTTCCTCGTGCTCGTGTAACATTTGTACCGGCCCTTGTCTTGAACTTTGACCCTCCTGAGAAGCAGGGAGGCGTTGCCCTGAGGGATGTGAGAGTTGAACAGGCTGGTCCTGCCGTTGAAGTGCTTGTTCTGGTGCCCAAACTGGTCCTTGTTGTAGTAGTAGCTGTGCACGGGGGTCTGCTGCTTGTACCAGTGGATCACCACGGTGCCGACGGGCCTGAAGCTGCAGGGCAGGAGGCAATCGTCAGGGATGATGCACGTCACGTTGGCATCGGCTAATAACACTGTGATACAAAATTCAATTCAATTAAAATGTATTTATATAGCCCAATATCACAAAATACATTTGTCTCAGAGGGCTTCACAAATCAACAAACATGAAGGATAATTTAAAAACAACAAACATATCTGAGAATATAGTAAAATGACAAGATAAATGTCAGTATTGATAGAACTGCATTGTTCATATATTTATATCACTATAACTGCTGGAGAAATAACAGCTGTACTTCTCAAAATTCAAGTATCAACATATCTGATTCTTTATTCTTATTCTTTATTAGGATCTCCATTAGCACTGCATGAGCATTGGCTATTCTTCCTGGGGTCCTCACACACACAAAACACACATAAACATACATTAAAAAAAGTAACTTTGATACAAACAATTCTATGTCAGTATTGATAGCACCACATTGTTTATATATTCATATCACTGTAACTGTTAGAGAAATTACAGCTGTACTTCTCAAAATGCAAGTATCACCATATCTGATAGTCCTGTTGTTTTCCTGTAACACCTGAATGAATACTAACACATTCTTTTTGAATGTTTTATCATATGGTATAATTAACCCCTGGATTTTGGAGGGAAAGAAATGTATGTTCTTTATATAATAATAAATGAGAGAATTAGTTATGATCAAATGTTCCGGGTCAGTTTTAACAGCTGTACTTTGTGATATGTACACTACATGTTTTACTTCACATAATTTCAACCATTTCCAGCCATGTGTGATTTGAGTTTGCAAATGTCAAGAGTTCATAGTCAACAGATCTCACTAACAGTTTAGATCAACGTGAAGAACTTTAACATTTGGGAATGTGCTCAAATTGGTTGCAAAACAGTATTATTTGTCTTGTTATTAGGTCACTGCTGCTGCACTATCCTTAAATTCAAGCTCAAAGACACACAGCTGCTGCTGCTGCTGCTGCTGCTGCAACAACAACAACAACAACAACAACAGCGTGTCAGAATCAAGAATCCTCAGATTTAGCAATAATGTATTACTGATTTTACACAATGTGAAATGCAGAATTCCTCCAAAAGAGCCTCTGTCCTCTGAGTTTCATTGTCTAATAAACATCTAAGCTGTTAGTTGAACTACAATAAAGACTTTTTTTCATCGGTGACCCACTTGTGTGCAGCTCACAGCTGGGGAGCTCTCTGAGGAAAAAGTGCAGCTGTGTTTACTGCGGATGTGAAAATATAAAAGCAAACTAATATTATATGTATTGTTTGCAGCATTTGTCATTCTCAATCAAATCTGACATGATATACTCATCTGAACTACTGAGTTGTAAAATAAGTGTTGACATACAAATCAGTTCACTGTGTGCCATGCCCTTTATACACATACATCAATAACAATCATCTTTGGAAGGATGATATCATAGCTTTGTGGTTATTACAATAAAAACATATACCTCTTAAAAGGTAACATTTACACTGTCTGCAAAATAAGACCATAATTACTCTTAACTGATTCTTCAATAGGAAATATGAAACCCTAACCCAATTAATTTGTTTTTAGTATTTGCCAGAATTATGAAGTGATTGTGATTTATTTTTCCAAAGTAAACATTGGCTGACCAAAATAAATCAAATATCTTACTGCAAAAAGATACATTGATGTAGCTTTTAAAAGCATTTAATAATTTAATTCCCTTAGTTTAAAATAAATCACTCATCTGTGAACTTAAGGAACCTAGTATTACAATACCTTTTGAATGTGTCTGTGACAATTTCTCCAAGAAAATAAGCAGCATTATAATCAGTCCGTGTGCCTCTGCCATGTCAGACAGCCTCCTTTGATGATCCAGTCACAGTATTTGGCATGAGTGTGAAAACACAGCGGTGTGCAGTGAAGTGTTTCTGTGGGACTCCACTTTACATCCTTCCTAACGCTAATGAAACACTGACTAATTAACCAGGCAGGTAAAAGTTTAACCAGCCTCCTTGTGAATGCTTCATCACACCTCTCTAGTGACATAGTTCACAAGAACACATGAAACACCTTCTGAAAATAGACTTACTCATCGCATTCAAGATCTGCTGGCTAAAAATATCAGTATTTTTTAAGGAGAAAGAAAACTTTTTCAGAGAAAAAGCAGATGAAGACGTTTAGGTGGAAAAAAATGCAGGACATTAAGCTACACATTTAAGTTACACTGTTATAATCCCTTAATGTATTATATTCCCCTAAGGAAAATATTCTGGAATAAATCAATCCCCCTCTTTTTTGTATATAGACAAACATTTAACGCCGGTGGTAAGAGGCTTCAGTCCCATGTGACCCTGCAGAGGCATTGAAAAGTATAAAGAAAATGCAAGGATGTGATGGTATTTGGCTCAAAAATATTTCAGTTATGCTTAATCTCTGTCATTTAGAAGTTGCACAAATATTTTCTATGTGTGTGATAATGCTGTAATGCTGATATTGTGGTTTAAACACACAGTGGGCGTTGTGTGTGTTAATGCATTGCACTTCCTAACATACTTTGACAGATGATGACCTCTAGAGGGCACAGATGAGATGTCACTTCCATAAATGAGTGTCCGCCTGCGGTCCAGCAGCTGACGGGTCACATGTCCAGAGCCAAGGGCCACGTGCACATTCTTTAAGGTGGCATTGCTCAGCCCTCAATCAACTGTAATCCCAGATTAAAGGGAGCATACCACTACAGTTTGTTTCCATCGCTGATTATAAAGTTTATCTTTCTCTGCTGTAGGTTTTCATTCCTTCCTTGATTTAAAATAGCACCATGCAATGTTCTTTTTCTATGAGTTTACTGTTATTCCTCACTTGAATTTAAATTCAAACTACTTATTCAAATCAATTTGAATAAGTAGTAGTTTACTTTTCCTTTCATTGTCATTAGTGATACAGGGTAATTTACTATATGTCTATTGTGCATCACATGACCATTGGCCCATTAACAATCTGTCATGTGGATGCTGCTTATTGTATGTGGACAGCTTGCTAGTTCATTTGAATGCTGATCATTATTATTATTATTATTATTATTATTATTATTATTATTATTATAAGCATTTAGAAAAATACCAAGGATAGAGAGCTACTGGGGCTACAAGCAGAGGACCCAGGATTTAATCCGGCTCAGGACCATAAATAATTATGAGAACATAATAACCTGAAATAAAGGCAATGGCTGCACCCCTAAAAAAGAAGAATATTAATTTGCTTGTACGGTACGGTATAACTCGCCATTCATGTGGGTTGGAACCTGGAGGAAAACTGAAAAAATTAATTTGTGAAAAGTGTGAAATGCAATAAATCATTACAAGATTGAGTATAACTTCCAAAAAATGCCAACAAATAGGGGGGGGGGGCAGCAAACAGACAGTTCAATGGGGCTGTGCAGCGTCCATTAGGAGAGGATAACAGGCTATATTTGGCTGAATGTGACTATGAGGTGATGAAGTGACATAGGTATAGGTGAGTATACAGAGAGGGTATAAAAACAACATAATCCTAAACATTTTTGACTACCTGTAGTTTTGGGCTTGGACAGAATAATAGAAAAACTATTATCAGTTTTTATCAGATTTCAGAAATCAAAATGGGCATAATGGTATATATCTATATATATATAATACTAGTATATTGTTTTTTGTAGATTAACTGGATTGGGTTTTACTGTGTTGTTAAGCATTGCTTTTTTTTGTTGCCATTTTTGGACATTTAAGTAATATGTCAATACACTTTTTGCAAAAAATGTGTATCTGAAATCTTTCATGTCTAAGTTAATGAGCTGAATACACAGGATCATTTGTTCTAACACTGTATCTGTAATCCCTTTTTCCTTGCATTCAGCTGGGCGGAAACAGCTCAAAGCCTCTGTTAAATAAGCATATCCACTGCTGTCAATGGTCTCTGCTGCAATGTTTGCTGATGTTGTCGAGACATATGCTGGCATCTGCCTTGGATAGGATCCGTCCTCCAACCATCGAACAGTGTACAGAGGGAAAATCCAGCAATGTATAAAAGTAGACTGCACGCTTTTTATTTGCATCTGCTCAGAATGATGATGAAACCGCTGGTTGTATTATCCTTATCCCCGCCCACTGCTGCCTCCAGTTTGTAGGTTACTGAAAGATTTCACCAACCACAGATAAGAAGATTAGAGAGAGGAATTAATGGTATTCCTTTGTCATTATAGGAATAAATTGATATTTGGTTTTAAATCAGAGGGTGGGGACAGCGGGGAGTGACATGTTGTGTCAGCAGACGTCAGCAGAGGGATGGCACAGTGGACAGCAAATGCAACCAGGGAGATTCCTGTGACTTGGAGCTAAGCACTGGATATCTGGCCGATGTTCACCATGTTAGAGGAGATGAAACAGCAGGATAATGAAGATGCGTGTGTGCGTGGCGGGACAGAATGAGTGCTGCTGGGTCATGGACGTGCCAGTAGAGGATAGGGACAGCTGTGGCATTCCCTGGGCGAGACACTGACGCAGCGGGAGGAACGTTTGGGTTCCTCTCGTCTCTCCAGCACCAGCCTAACCATGAGACTGGCCCTCCTGGCCTTCAGACTGATGTGCTTGGCCTGGCTGTGGCCCCTCACCCACAACAGCAGCCACTCAGCAAAAAAGAGGAGACACAAGGAGCACATTGGAGAGAGCACCAAGCAGAAGCATGGAGGGTGAGCTAAAGTGTGATTTCTCCTTATGATTCTTTGCTTTGTAATCGTGGAGCTGCTTTTCTGATCAAAAATATTTGTATTGCGTTTCGACAATGCATAAGTAATGTTTGTCATTTAGAATTGGGAAGCAAAATATATTTATACAAATGAGACAATGGTCTGTACTGATTGTATGTACAAAGAGAAAAAGGAATGACAAAAAACACAAACCAACAATAACAACAAGTAAAGTAATCCCCTACATTCACTACTTCATATACACGATTTCTCATACACACAATTATTTACCAGGAACATTGTTCAATTAATATTTGGAGCTGCTTTTAATGTTTGAAATGTCGACCTATATAATTTTGTGGCTCTGTGTTCTACTTCACAATGTCATCAAATATGGCCATGAATATTGAAATAAATAACGAAATGTAAGAGCAGGTGATCTATCATGTGAGGTGAAAGGGAAGGTAATCTGGGCATGAGACTGAACAGGTAATTTTTTTATAAGACTTATGCAACATAAAGTACAGCAGGGAAAATCTGAAAAATAAAAAATCACAAGGATTTCTAAGAAGACAGTAAAAACAGATGTGCATTTTGAATAAATAAAAGGTGCAAGTTGAACCTATAAGACTCAAGAAAGAGCAACACGATGTCTCCAACCCAGTTATGTGCGAACAGTTATGGAACTTCTAATTTCCACTAGACCAAAGCCTTGGGTTGTAATCAGAGTGCTAAAGTCCAATTAACCATCACTAACTCCCTCGACCAGATGTCAGTTCTGCTTCAATTATGCGTAGGTGTCAGAGAAGGAGTTTCTACATTAATCTGTCATTTGTTCTCTTTGTTTTTCAGACGAGTTGATCTTAAGCTCAAAAAGCTGGACAGCACCAAGTCGCTGCTAATTAAATCTGAGCAGCTGCTTCGGATTGAAGATCATGACTTTGCAATGCGGCCTGGCTTTGGAGGTAAGACACACAAATCAAATCTATCTATTCACAGAAAGCCTGAATATATATTTAATCAAATATTCTTTCTCTTTTTTAAATCAACTTTCGTAACATGTGCTCTCCTGGCAACTCAGGGAGGTTTAAGTAGGTTACTGTGCTGCTGTTACGCCAACCACAAAAACCACTGGTGACCTAGATTGTCTGTTGTGTGAGATGATGACAGACAGCCTAGTAGGCTACAGATAAAATAATCTGTGTACTAATTCTGTGGAGGACGGGAAGAAAAGCCTAATGTTATATGACATTTTCGTGTTGCATAATTATTAGAATTTAAAACTAGAATTTTGTTTTATTTGTATCCCCGTTTCAAAGACTGTAGCAAATCTGTACACAACAAGCTTTGTGTTCTTTCTGTGCCTCGTAGCCGGGTGAGGATTTAGTTTTGATTTTAATATATACATTCATAATCCATGAATAATAAAAAACAAACTTTAAATGAAAAGAAAATGCTCTGGAGCTTCAGAAAATGTCTCTTTTTTTGTGCAAAGCATTGGGTGGCTGTCTTAATCCTTTCAGTGGATGTGTTTAAGTTGTCTCTGAGTCCAACAAGTGACTCTTTCTTGACATTTACGAGCAGCTATTTTAAAGGCCTTCATTGCCGAGGTGTTGTCCTCTGACCACTAGACTGTAACAGACTTCCTGCATGAGTTGACTCTTATGTCACCTGTTTTCTTTGCAAACAATAAGGTCTTACAAAACCAGCATTGTGTGGCTGGTTTGAAATTAGTGTTCTGTAAAAACCTGTATTTCTGGTGTATCAGTGTGTTTGTTATGGTTCTACTGTGAACTGTATTAGTTCCTCTCATTGTTGAAGCATTGCATCGCGGCTAATGCGTTTCACTTTTGCTCTCTGCACAGCCGTGTACAGTAGCTGCGTACAACCAAAGCGTGCTCTAATGTGTTCGCTCGATACTAATTGGATTGCAAACAGAAATGTTTAAACACCTCTTGCCTACCGATTTTGAATGAATATGCTGTCATCTGTTTTTAGCAATATTCAGTGACATAACATTAAAAAAAAATGAGCAGGTCTTTACCTCCAGGACCCTACCTGCCCGATATAATCTCTCCTACCCCACTACTCCAATGTAATCGTAGACTGATGGCTTCCCTTCATTAGATAATGGCACAGAGGGAACGGTATGTTTAGTTCACATCATACGTTTATAGTGTGACTGGGCGATGAGGGATAAGGTCCAACTATACACTCTATAGAATATTTAGATGGGTACACAATGGCTACATGGTGTTGAAACATTTCAGTTGTTTAAGTAGATGTTTGGGTTTATCAGTGCAGACTGTCGCCGGCATATGCGCTCACGATCGAAGCAGATCCTCTTTGTTGCGCTGTTCAATAATGGGCTGGCAACACATGCTCGTAGAGGAGAACAAATCCTTAGTTTGTTTCCTGGCTCTGAACTCATTTGACATATTTTCCCAGTTCGGGTTTATCAGGTCATGTGAACTAAAATACCCCCTAATAGGATTTTGTTGCTGCATCCTGGGACAGGCTTAAGACTCATATTGAAAAGAAAGTTTAAGAGCATAAACTGAATGATTTTTGTAGTAGTCTGTTATGAGTAACACAATGGATATTTATATCCATGCAGATTCTGGTGAGACAACATCTTGTGATTTAAATCTGAACGGTGTCAAGGCATCTCTAAACTCAGTCATGCTTAAGAACTAGCCAGGGCATCGCTCTAATCCAACTGTTTGTATTTGTATTCCCTCAAATCTAGCTTTTGTCCTACTGTATATGTCACGATGTGGGATTTACACTTAAATAATCCCTGGCAGATGTGTGATTCATGGACGGCGTGTTACTGTTGCTGAAAAGCTGATCCACTGCGTTTGACCTTTTGTAGGTTCTGCTATTCCTGTCGGCATTGATGTTCAGGTGGAGAGCATTGACGGTATATCTGAAGTAAACATGGTACGTGCTAATAGGATATATGCACTTAGTCTAGGAACAGTGTTTCCTTTTCTCATCTGAACATCAGGGTTGTTTTGTTTTCAGGACTTCACCATGACGTTGTACCTGAGGCATTACTGGCAGGACGACCGCCTGGCCTTCCCCTCCAGCAGCAATAAGAGTCGTACCTTCGACGCACGTCTTGTGAAGAAGATTTGGGTTCCTGACGTGTTCTTCGTCCACTCTAAGCGTTCTTTTATCCACGACACAACCATGGAGAACATCATGTTGAGGGTTTTTCCTGATGGCAATATTCTCTACAGTGTCAGGTAACAAAAATACGTTTTTTTATATTATGTGGCACATGGAATTTACTTGTTTTTGTTGCTGTTGTCACTTTTAAGGACACCTTAATGGTCATCAATATTTTGAAATGCCATGCGTATTAGCACAAAAAAAAATGTGTCTAGTAGCTTGCAGTATCTGATGTGTATTATTGCAATTTAATTCAACTGCATATCCGAAGAGGAAGAATGTGATTCCTACTTCCAAAGCTTTCATTGTCTAGCTTTAAGTGTACCTGCGCATATAGATCTAACTTAAGGAGTTATGATTGAGTCATTTGCATATAGTCCGGTAATTCAATTCAGGTTCTTTTTTTTGTTTTATTTCGTAAATATTAGAGGAAATTAGAGGAAATCTACAGATCAATACAAACAAAGTGAAATGAATACCTTAAGGTGTGTTTTGGTTGTTTTCATTCCACCACTCTATTGAAACAAAGCAGCCCAGAATTGCACTGAAGGGTTTCGCCTTAAATAATAAAACAATTTTATAAAAAAGGACGTCAACCAAGATATGAAACAATCTAGTGGACTGTTAATGCGGGGTTTAATGGGCATCGCCTGAAATAAATATAAGAAGCTTTCAGACGACATTCATCTTAACCATCTCAGCCACAGATGTCGTCAATATGGCGTCATCCCGACAGATTGTAGCGCCAGCGGCCTCTGAGAGAGAGTTAGTGCATGAATGCATCATTTAATGTCCCTCTCCACCACCATATGTTAAAATCAGTCCAGTGATATTGTTGTATACACTTTCTGACATCTTGCTTGATTTATGAGGCTGTAAGCTGTGTTTCAGGATCACGGTGACTGCGCTTTGCGCCATGGACTTCAGTAGTTTCCCTCTGGACACACAGAATTGCTCTCTGGAGCTGGAGAGCTGTAAGTACCAAACTAGTTGGAACATTTCCTGTTGTTAATGCTTGATAGGGAATTTAAATCGGTTTTCCTGAGGATTTATGTAAATGTTTTTGCAATGCTTGCTTGGCATGTTTTGCTGAATAACATGTTACATAACTTTTGATACGCTGGTTTTTAATTCAAAAAGCATCGGCTAGTGATACTGCTGAGCTCACTAAATTACATGAAGCAGTAGCCAAGCTTCATAAACGCACAGTAACCCCCGCCATCTTCTCTTTGCACTGAGTAAATATATCATAATCCTCAATCAGCTCTATCTCTGCCCATTATAAAAGTCTGCTCTTCTAATGAAGGACTTACTGGGGGATTCTGTTTTTCTGAATCCCCGAACTTGGGATTCATTTCCATGTTGGGAATCTTTTGTTATTCTGGCTTGCTTCCATTTCTCTTTATCTGTCTTAAATTATTTCATGGATGAAGCATGGATCCTGATCTCACAGGAGAGACCCCTTCTGTGCAATCTTTCCCCTCCTCTGATCCATGACTCTTTTTGGCAACATCTAAATGTTGACCCCCCTCCCTCCTCTCTTAAAGATGCTTACAATGAAAACGACCTGATGCTCTACTGGAAGAATGGGAACGATTCTTTAAGGACTGACGAGATCGTGCTTTCTCAGTTTTTTGTTGAAGATTTCCAGCCTTCCTTCGGGCTTTCCTTCTACAGCAGCACTGGTATGTGAGCTCAGAGCCGCGAGGGCCCCTCTGAATTGTACCTGCTTTGAACAAACACCATCAAAAAAGTCAAACTAAATAAGCCACCAGAGCTGTTACTGTTCTTTAAATGATGTTGAAGAGTATGATATTTTTTTAATGAGTTTGTCACCTCAAATTCATGCATGACCTTTCCTCTTCTATCTAAATCAGGGGTGTCAAACTCAATTTCATCATCAATGTGATATCAGCATTATTGTTGCACTCAAAAGGGCCGGTTGTAACTTTAAGACTATATAAATATATATAAAATAATGTATTATATTACATTATTGCCTCTGTGTTGGATTATTATCAGATAGGGTAATAACTTCATAATTAACTACATCTGAAAGAACAGGGCTCTTCTGTCCGCACGTCACGAAATGAGATGCACTGTGTGACTTTATGGGCAACGTATTATATTCTTTGCAAGCTCTTGCCGGCCACATCAAATATAGTCGCGGGCCTTGAGTTTGACACCCCTGACCTAAATGAATCAGTAACACTAAGGCTAAACATCCCGAACTATAGTGCAATGTTGTTTCTGTGGGTTGCCTTATCATATAAGCATTGACTAAGCCCACTTTTTGAAACCCTGCCTGCTTTGACTGTAGGACGAAAAAAAAAGATGGCAAGGGAGATTTTCTTCTGAGTGTGAAGTAATCTAAGTAAGACCTTTCCGCTCTAAGAGCTTGTTATATAACTGCAGCTCTACACAGAAAATAATCACTTTGCCAACTGAGGTCTAGGTTCTACCTGTAGGTCCATCTAGTACTTTCTTACATTCACAACTTATACTTAATTTTTCATGTTTTTTTGCAACATTTTCCAGAGTTTTCTGCTGCTTCTCACTGTTATTATGCCATGCTACCCACTCTCTACCCAACCTCCACTTTCTGTCCGTTTGTCTGTTTCAGGTTGGTACAATCGGCTCTACATAAACTTCCTTCTCAGGAGGCACATCTTCTTCTTCATGCTTCAGACATACTTTCCCACCATGCTCATGGTGATGCTGTCCTGGGTGTCTTTCTGGATAGACAGGAGGGCTGTACCTGCCCGTGTCTCTCTGGGTACTGAGACTACGTCTTCATTTGACCTTTAACACATGTTGACAGATTTATTCAACAAATACAATTTCACTTGTATTTTTATCCAAAATCATCAGTTTTACTTATAAGAAATGTTTAACAATTTAGGTATTTAGCTTTTCTAATTTCTTATGGAGAGATAAGAGCACTGTTTAGCTTATTTTAGCACAACAATAGAAAATAGGGGGAACACTTAATTGCGAAAAATGAAAAAACGATGGTGAATTCAAAAGGCAGATATTATGACAATAGTCTTTAACCCAATTCAATCTGATAATGTAAACTACATGCCAAGACCTGGTCATAAATAGTGAATAAAGCATTTGAAATGTTTTATCAATCACTCGTAGGTATGACGTAGTTATGTTGTTAAACAGCAGTATGTTTTTCTTCGGCTTTAAGCAACAGTTTGCAGCTTCAAGTCACTAAAATGACTTGTAGTGTTCAGATAAAAGATTACATTATTGTAGTTATACAGATATTAAAAAACTAACAATTGCGACGGAGAATATTTATAATGCAACTTCGGTTTGTTTTATGCCTATTGAGTACTGGTGTGGTGTTTCTGATATGAGGACTTGATAATTATATTGTGGATAGGGCTATTCTTTTTAATTGCTCCTTTGTATGCAGGCATCACCACGGTCCTGACGATGTCCACCATCATCACCGGTGTCTCAGCCTCTATGCCACAGGTGTCTTACGTTAAGGCCGTAGACATCTACCTGTGGGCCAGCTTCCTGTTTGTCTTCCTGTCTGTCATCGAGTACGCTGCTGTCAACTACTTCACTACGGTGGAGGAGATGAAGAGGCTCAGGAAGGCAAAGGTCATATTCGGCTGTTTGTGGCCTAGAATATCTTGTTAAATAAATAAATAATACCAAATAAATACCATCTGGACCGACTAACTCTCCTCGTCTGCTTTTGTCTCTGCAGATCCCAGACTCCTACGACGCCAACCAGGCTATGGCGTTCGATGGCTGTTTCCACGACAATGACATCGACCTGACTCCTTTTCCAGACACAACCAGCACCTCAAACACAGAGAGGAACACGCAGTCTCGAAACTCTACCGTCTCCGGACCCACAGAGGGAACGAGGCTACGCCGCAAGCACCCTTTACTACAAAACCTCAGCTTCATCATGAGCCACAGCTACATGATCGACTCCTACTCCAGAGTCATCTTCCCCCTGGCTTACCTGCTCTTCAACATCATTTACTGGAGTATGTATGCATCGTAAATCACCTATGCATCAGAGGAAACTATTGATTTAAGACTATTTCCACCACAATACAGTTTAACACCAACAGGCTGCAATAAACTGATTAACAAAACTCTGCTATGGGATTCGACCCCAAGTCTGTCTGATGATGATATCGTGCATGATGTCGTCTACATGGAAAACATCTGGGATCAGCTGTTGCATTGAATGGCTGGCTATTTTTGCTGATGTTTATATTTTTTTCTCGCATGCCTGTTTTATAAAAAACATAGTTTTATTCAAACAAATGTGTTCTATTTTATTTCTTGATTAGACACAGAACATCTTAAAGTATAATAACTGTACATTGTCTTGAAAAATAAATGGATGTTGTGTGTCAAGTTTAAAAATATAATTCTGACAAATATTTACTTTGCTTTATTTTACTTTGTTTTATTCTTATTTTATTTATTTATTTAACCCTGAGATGCATAAGTGGGTCTTTTTTGACCCGGCGAGGTGGTTTTCTTGAAGTATCTTTATTTTTGTATCATTTCATATTCCAGCTATTCCTCAAAAAACATGTTTTGGATATCATGCCATTCAAATTTTTTATTTACATTTTAAGAAATTGTAGTTTTTGTATTTCTACCCCAAGCTTCCATAAGTGGGTCAAAAATGACCCGCATGCCTTTTCTATGGAATCCTATGGGGAAAAGTTTTTTTTGAAAATGTAAAAAAAATATCTAAAATTATAAATAGTGAAAAATGTAATATAAAATATTTCTAGTGTGAACCAAAATATAATACTAAATATTATACAAGAGATTTTTCTTAACCAAAATGACAAGAATGGCATAAAAACACATATTATTCTAATAAGGGTCCTTTTTGACCCACTTATGGAAGAGTAGGATCCAGTCACTCGTGCATCTAAGGGTTAACAGGGACAGTGCACATTAATCAACATTCCTTCTCATTTAGCACTAGAACCGCCAGAGATTTTTTATACCTAAAACCACCACCGGGGTCAAATTGACCCAGCATTAGAATGCATTGATTTTCAAAGTAAAAGTATTGCTTTAAAAAGAAAAATGGTCCTGTGGTATTGGTATTTTGACAAGCAATTTTGTTAAATTGTTTCGTTTATTAACGGTACAACATAGGGTTTCGTGAGGCGGTTGTCGTTGTTGGGTGAAAAGCAAACAGCTGTTTGCTTCGGAGCTCAGTGCAAGCAGCAAACAGCACAGAGTGAGCAGTCTCCCGTGAGCGGTAGCGCGCTCCTTCACTACAGACTGTCAATCTATCTCTCTCTCTCAATCTATCTCTCAATCTATAAGGAACTGCAGTAGACAAAAGGCGTTGCTATAGCAACACGTCATGTTTGTTTACGCGAAATCAATAGCGCGAAAAGGGGTGGGGTCAATATGACCCGCTTGGCGGAAATAGGTATAAATGGCAATTCTTTTGCAGATTTCTTCAATCTGACTTCATATTGACAATTGTTAACAACCTATGGTGCTACATAACACACTTTCAGGAAAAGTCACGGACTGGGAGACTTTAATATGTTATTGAAAAAAAGTTACATAGCCTACAATAAAAGACAGGTCTGGGTCAAATTGACCCTGTTGGCGGTTCTAGTGTTAGTGCCAGGGTTAGACAAGATGCTATTTTTCATCAGTAGTAACCGGAGAGATTTACTAAGTCACCCTAATGAGACAAAATGTCATTTAAAATAACGAGTAAATACAATCAATAAAAACATGCAACATACAATACTGGAAATGTTAATTAAAAAACAATAAAACAAAAAATACATATTATGAAAAAGAACAGGATATCAAGCACAGGCAGTGCAGACAGACAGTGGGTTGTGAGGTGCAGAAGATTGTATCAGTGTTGACAGAGCTGATTCCTTACCAACTATTTAATTAGGATTTAAATAAACTGAATGTATTATGTTCTCTGATTGTAGCTGGGATTGAGTTCCATTGTTTAGCAATAACAGAAAATGAAGATCGACTGAAATAACCTTTCCTGAGTGGAATAATGCAATCTCCTCTTGCTGCACCTCTTGTCATCCTATTTGCGGTTGTCCCCATGATAATATATCTGTGTGCTTTAGCCGTAGACATTCATTAATATCAATTTGACGACAATGTGTTAGTCTTAGCAGCAAGGCATTATTTATCTTTGCTCCGCTGCTGTGGCGGTGAACAAACACAGTTAAGGTGCAGCCCTAAAAAACGAAACAATGAGCTAAAATGTGCTACTATTTTCAAAATACAAGTAGTCATGTTCTCTATTAAGGAATTATTGCCCATGTAGGATTAAAAGCTCAGGAATTAAATTGCTTTATCGATCGTGGAAACAGCAGTTGAGAAAGGGATTCATGTCAAAGCCCTTCCTCCACCATCTCATGACGATCATAGCGTGTAGAGAACAGACACTACTTCATGCTATCGATCAAACACATGCAACATGACAACCAAGAGTGACATAACAGAGGATTAATAGATCATAACAGCAGGTATACAGCACATCTACATTTAAAAGTATATGTATGGAAATCGGAAAGAAGCTTTTATGTGCTGCTGCTGCTGGAAGTTTTTAAACGTATAGCCTATATGATGCCGTAACCCAATAATATATTATTGTTTATTCTTTAAATATCTCAGTGTGACAGGAGTGACAATACACTCAACAATATACTAAAAAAAACAATTACATGCTATGCTGTATACAATTTCACAAAAAGATACCCACTTTTATATGTTAACATGAAATGAGTTTAAAGGATTGGAGCGAATGAGAAAACATGGGTTGAAGGGATTAGAGTTCATAAAGTCAGTCATACCCCGGTTGCATAACATGGTGTTAGTTAATGTACATGAAGCCAGCAGGAAGTCAGTTTCATCAAAGCTTATTATGAATAATGTAAAGAAACCTGACCAGAGTTATTTTCTAAAAGCTCAGCAGGCGGGAATATCAGTGCACAATATGGTTCAAATTGAAAAAAAGGAAAACATGAACATTTTATTTGCTCTGGTCTCATTTGTGTGTGTGTCCATCTGATCTTTATCCTTATGTCGCCCCCTAGTGTACAAACTGGGAACACCTATTACTCCACTGTTCCTTCCTTTATTATTTACAGGTAACGCACGCTTGTCCATTGTCAAATTATTTTGGTACCACAATATAATAAGTGTTGTTGTTAATAATACAATTATTAATGGTTTACTAACCCTAGCCCCTCCCTAAAAGCTATTTCATTGACACATTGATACATATCTAATCTGGGCTATCAGGATATGACTGTTCAAATTCAGGAACCCTTCTTTTACATCCACTGCCAGCATAGTCATTTTTTCTATTTAGTATTTGATTTAACTTTATTTAGTAAATGAGCAGTGTGGCCTCTGAAGAGTGCACATACAACCACATGGCTTTGACTCTTTAGGGTGTAACTGTATTACAGTACAGTAAATATAGAGGTTAGTCTGTGTAAATATAATTTAAACTGCCACAATAATTGATTAAATTAGTATGCCGCGTCCGTATTAAAATATATAGAGGTTTGCATGTGTAAATATAATTTAAAATGCCACAATAATTGATTAAATTAGTATGCTGCGTCCGTATTAAAATATATAGAGGTTTGCTTGTGTAAATATAATTTAAAATGCCACAGTAATTGATTACATTTTTATGTGTGAGTTCAGGTGCGTCACATACAAACCCCTCCTGAAAAGTAGGTGCATAACAGGACATACACATAATGCTGGTGTGTGATTTCGTATTACGCAACAGTAAATATTTGAATGCCCTTTCTGCAGTGTTACCCTGGAGACAATTAGTTCAAGTCAAGTCCGTCACTAATTACATTAACAAGGCTAGGACACGCCCTTAGGCGCACCTTTACTGACAAACAAATCAGAATCAGAATACTTTTAGATAGAAAACCCCCTGCATAAACCTACACAGACATTAGCTGTGGACATTTAGGCTAATCATTTTTTGGAGTATTGTACAGCAATGAGCCTTCTTTGAACTGGTCTAAACTCAAAGAATTTCCAGTTTCGGGAGGTAGACATTGTTGAGCAGGTAATGTTTGCAACATGCACCTATTCAGGTTGACGTTCCAGGGGCGTGCCACATGTTTCAGCTTTTGATCCTGCATGGGAAAGTCAAAGTGAACTCACTCAGCAGTCTGTCAACAACGCTAGCAACGAGTTTGTGTCGGCAGAGAGAAGAAAATGCACACATAAAGTTTGTGTTTTGGCTTTGTTTTCAAGGCTAGTATTCACCCTCGGGAAGTGATGTCCCAAGGAAATGAGGCTAAAATGAAGAGGAAATCTGCTGGCTTTTGTTCTTATGGATCTTCAAGTCGACACACGTTTGGCCCCTCTGTCAGGTAAAGTGGTGCGGCTGGTTTTGGTGTGTCTGCTTTTCCTTTAATAGTGCCCACAGCTGGTCTGCTACATTTTACATATTTATTATTTACACCATATTTGTCTTAATTTAAAGAAATTGTATGTTGTCTTCTTTTACTTTTTGGCTTTGATTGTGAATATACTATTTCATATTTAGCTTGGGTATATTAAGTGAAGTTTAGGATAATATTTCCAGAAATAATGGCAGTTCACATAACGTTAAGGGGCAGAAGAAAACATTCCCAAGATGAATGGGTCTGTGGATTTGTACTGTTGATGTAAAATTCGTCTTCATCATCTACATATTGAAACAAAAGATTTTGATTTTGTTGAGCAACATCGGTTCTCTACTCTAATCATCATGTTCTCACCTGTCACAGCTATTGCTGAGATGTTTCTTCTCTCATTTTCTATTTCTCTAATTCTAATATACTCTATTCTTCCTCAAGTCAATGTACTAACATTAACTACATTACGTACAGGATGTAGGTGAAAAGGGTTCAATTACATTTCAGTCGAGCCCACTGCCTCGAAAGGGCTTAGCTGACTAAGTTATATGTGTTGCCCTCTCAGTTGAAGCTTCATGTATCTACAGTATATATTTCTCGCTGTGTTGTGGCCCTAGGTGTGCGTGTTAGGTAGAGTGCTGACCAGAGCAAAGCAATGGCAGATTAAAAGACATAAAAAACGAATGACTTTGTCTGGTTTGGTAGTTGTATACAAAACATTTGGCATAATTTCCATCTTCAACATTGTAGCAATCCACAGAGAAATGGAAAGAAAGATAATGAGAAATAACAAATGTATTTAGTTCTACATTGTTATGTTCTGATAAATAAATGTATTCTTGGATTTCAAACATCAGCATTATGATTTT